GGGGGACCTGACGTGTTTGCAGGCTCCCGTGGCCGCTTAGACTTTGAAGCCCCTGAGGCAGGGGGACATGGCTTTGGAATGCCAGAGGTCCCCGGTGTCTGTGCCTGGCTGTCCCTGCCATTCAAGGCAGCTGGCAGGGATCTTGCTGGGGACAATGCCATTTTCTTCTGCAGTCCCACAGTAGCGGAGGAAGCCCGGCGCTTAAGAGGCTGCTGATTCAAGTCAGCTTGCTGCAGCTGCAAGGCTGTATCAAAGAGCAGCATACGGAGGCGCCTCTCCCTGTCTTTCCTGGCTCTGGAGGTGAGCCTTAGGCAATGGTGACACTTCTGGGGGATGTGAGACTCCCCCAGGCAACGAATACAGTCTGTATGGCCGTCAGAGGCTGGCATTGCCTCCCGGCAGGAGCCGCATTTTTTAAAGCCGGCAGCTGACATGTCGGGAGCTCGCTGCTTCTTAGCTGTTATTGGTTTTGAACAGTAGGTGGTTGTTAAAGCTGATAAGATATCAAGAACAAAAGATAGCTAACAGTCTGTCTTTTTTTTTTTTTTTTTTTTAAAAGGTGAGCGGAGCTCTATACGGAGGAGCTGACAGGAGAACAGCTGAAAGGCGGGAGGTAAGAGTGGTCTCCGCTTTCACTCCCGATAGTTCTTGTTTGTCCTTCCCTTCTTGAAAGAAAAGTTTTTTTTTTTTAACTTTATGGGGAGAGGGAGGAAAAGGATATTTTATATGTAGAAAGGGAGAACTAGAAGCTGTCTAGCTCTGAGGAGAGAGGAGCGCGGTTACAGGCGTCTGCAGCCTGAGGCGGTGAAGAGGAACTGGCAGAGGGGCCGGACCGCGCGACAGAAAGAGCGCGAAAGCCGCGAGCCTGCGGCACATGCGTGGTCCGGCCAGACACTGCTAACAACAAGTCTCCGTCTGCGGCGCCGGGGCAAGCCCAGCACCCATAGTGGAGCACCCGCGGGGACATCCCCGAAGAAGAACGTGGCATAATCTCTGGCTGCAGTCTGTGGGATATGTAGATTGCAGTGGATTTTTCAGTCAGTGCATGAGGTATGATGTTCATCTGTTTACACTTGGATAGGAAGACAATGTCTGTTTGGATCTGTGCAAGTTTCTTTGTGCACTTGATGGATTTCCACTCCATAGGACTGAATGCAGTGCCTTGCATGTTAAAAAGCAATCAATCATTCTGAAGTATGTTGTGACAAGCCCCATAAAACTATAGGAAACATTCTAATACTTTTATACTGGGTATAAAAGTCATTCTTCCGCTCTACTCTATGCTGATTAGGCCTTAATTGGAGTATTGTGTCTAGTTCTGAGCAAAGACAGAAACAATTGAGACACATGTTGTTTTAGGATTAAAATAGCTTTGTAACCCTCTCTATTCACAATATTGCTCAAGGGGAAATTTACCTCTGTAAATCTGTACACTTCAATTATTTTCCCCCAAGAAATTTGACCATAAGAAAACTATCCTTGCAAAAGCCAAACATTTCAGGTATCTAAAAGGGTGTTACAGGCAGCCCCCGGTTACGTACAAGATAGGGACTGTAGGTTTGTTCTTAAGTTGAATCTGTATGTAAGTCGGAACTGGCATCCAGATTCAGCCGCGGTTGAAACTGATCAGTTTCAGCAGCGGCTGACGCCAGTTCCGACTTACATACAGATTCAACTTAAGAACAAACCTACAGTCCCTATCTTGTACGTAACCGGGGGCTGCCTGTAACACCCTTTTAGATACCTGAAAACTGCTATCATGTCCCTTCTCAGTCTTCTCTTTTCTAAACTAAACAAGCTCAGTCTTGCCTCATAGTTCATGTTTTCTAGACCTTTAATCATTTTTGTTGCTCTTCTCTGGACCTTCTCCAATTTCTCCTCATCTTTCTTGAAATGTTTTGCTCAGAACTAGACACAATACTCCAATTAAGGCCTAATCAGCATAGAGTAGAGCGGAAGAATGACTTTTATACCCAGTATAAAAGTATTAGAATGTTTCCTATAGTTTTATGGGGCTTGTCACAACATACTTCAGAATGATTGATTGCTTTTTAACATGCAAGGCACTGCATTCAGTCCTATGGAGTGGAAATCCATCAAGTGCACAAAGAAACTTGCACAGATCCAAACAGACATTGTCTTCCTATCCAAGTGTAAACAGATGAACATCATACCTCATGCACTGACTGAAAAATCCACTGCAATCTACATATCCCACAGACTGCAGCCAGAGATTATGCCACGTTCTTCTTCGGGGATGTCCCCGCGGGTGCTCCACTATGGGGGAGCAGCTTTTCTCGCCCCGGAGGACGGGGGCGGTGGACCGCGGCGCATCTGGGCGTCCCGCCACTCCCATCCTCCGGGGTGAGAAAAGCCCTGTTTGTAACTGCGGATCCGACATAAGTCGGATCCGCGTAACTCGGGGACTGCCTGTACAAGGAAGAGGGAGAAAATTTGTTCACTTTGGCCTTTGATTATAGGACAAGAAGCAATGGGCTTAAATTGCAGCAGGGGAGATTTAGGTTGGACATTAGGAAAAACCTTCTAACTGTCAGGGTAGTTAAACATTGGAATAAATTGCCTAGGGGAGCTGTGAAATCTCCATTACTGGAGATATTTAAGAGACACCTGTCAGGGCTGATCTAGAGTTCTAGACAGTGCTTGGTCCTGCCATGAGGGAAGGGGACTGGACTCGATGACTTCTTGAGGTCCCTTCCAAGTTCTATGATTCTATATCCGGTTGTTCAGTTAGTGTAATCCAAAGAAATAACTCCCTTAGCACCTCTTCTATTGATAGATGGGGGCACTCACAGTTAGGAAAGCACATTCTTAGTATTTATTTATTCACCTGTATTTGAATTTTCTGGGATTCCGTCTTCTATCTCGGCTATTGTGATAATGAGGGCATGCATAACCCTGGCGGCAGAGTCTGGGGGGTTTGGTGCATTGCTCTGTCTTGTAGCCAGCTAATACAAAATTAGTATCTGTAAACAGAGGAATACATTTAAAGCCTGTTAACACTTTAAATGCAAAGTCAAATGCAGCGAGGTATCAATAAAATCACTGAAAGCAATAAAGTTTCTTTTTTTAAAATCTATTGTATAAAAAACTTGGTTTGTACACATCGCCATTGAAAAATTATTAGACTGAAACCTGGACATTATTGTCATTAAGGCAGTCTGACTAAAGTGTTATAATTTTTACATTAAATAAAAGCTTTATCATTACAGATAAAATACTAGCAGAATCCCAACACCATACAAAATATCCAGAAGCTCTCAAGTATTTTTAACATTTTCCCTAGGATTCTTCACAGTGTCACATACTGCGGGGATCAGGCCAGAGGGGTATGAGAGAGACAGAAGGGAAGTATATTATTGAGTAACTTTCTTTTCCCAGGGTAAACTGACAGGGACTGGTCCAGAACCAACAGAAACTTGCTAGAATCAATCAAGGCAATCAAGCACCTGGAGCCAATTAAGAGTCAAGTGAGCCAGACAGGTTGGAACACCAGGGGTCAATTAAGAACCAGTTGAGACTGGTTAGAAAGGGCTCCTTTGCAGTTAGTTTAGTGCAGGCATGTCAAACTTGAAGCCTACTGGGGGCCACACAAACGAAAACTGATAGCTTTCAAGGTCACCGAAGAAAATACATTTCTATCAGAAAGTCCTAATTATTTATTATTATAGATTAAGTTTTGGGTATATTTTAGAATATTTTTTCAGGTCTTGTTTTACTTTAATACAATAATTTTATGCATAAAATTGTTATTTGCTCCTATAAAAAATTAAAAAGTACCTTAAATTTATATTTCAATTAAAAATTATGTTATATCATATATAACTTGTTTTGTTGAAATAAAAACAAGTACCGACTGTGGTTAATCAAATAGAACAGGCTTCTGAAAATTTCAGATACTTTGTAATTTTGAGATTTTGCATAAACATATAATTATTCGTGCAATTGCAAAAAACTGACATTTATTGATATAAAATTAATATACATATTGTGATTTTATTTGGGAATAAATAAATAAAAAACAAAACAAAATATTCTCCCCTCTCCCCCAGAGTCAGGCACTCCCAGCCCCCTCAATCTAATGCCTGGGTCCCGGAGACACCGCTGCTGCAGCCACACACTTCTTCCTCGGGCACTGGGGTGGCATGAGCACAGTGGCCAGCTGTGAGCAAGTGCTGGAGCACCCAGCGCAGAGCAGCCCAGCCAGCCGTGAGCAGTCGGCCAGCCGTCCATGTGCAGAACGGCCAGCCGTCCACGATCTGCACTCGACCCCTTTCTCCGAGCAGCCAGCGGGCCGCACATTATTCTGGAGGACTGCAAAAAATTTCAATCGGGCTGCATGCGGCCCTCCAGACGCCTGTTTGACATGCCTGGTTTAATGTGAGAGGAGCTGAGGAGACAGAAGAAGCTGTGTAGGATCTAGGAGAAGCAAGCACAAGGGAGTAGCTCAAACAGCAAGTTGACAGCCTTGAAATGATGCCTAAATTGAGGGCTGTTGTGAGCCTCTGAGGTAAGCAATTGGCCACAAAGTGCAGAACTCACCAAGGTCGAATAGGAGCTTTTGTCACAATACTTATAAATGTTAAAAAAAAAAAAAAAAAATAAGCTCTTTGATTTTAAAAATGTGAACGTATATTATTCATTTGAGAATGACATGTAACCAGGACCTTATGCAACATTCCCTTCTGGATCCTCTTCTGTTTAACTTCAGCATTCTTTTCTTCACTAAACCTGCTCTTACAAGTGTGCTCCAATAAGACAGTCTTGGTAAGTCTCAGGGCCACTTCTCTAATCTGGTCCTTCTTAATCTTTTTCCTACCTTTGATACTTCAGATCATTCCCTCTTCTTTGATTATACTTCCTCTCTTGGTTTCCAGGGCCCTGTGTTCACCTGATATTGCTCAAATTGTTTCTTCAGTATTACCTTTGATAGTTCCTTTTATTCCCCCTACTTTGCTTGCATCTGTAAGCGCTCTGCCCTTGATCCCTTTCTCATCTCGCTCTAAACAATCTCATCCCACATGGTTCAACTATCTAATGTTTATTCTTCCCTTAACTTGCCTCTGTACGTACAGTCACAGCTCCAACTGTCTGCCAGTATATACTGGATATCTTGTCATTCAGTGATGCTGGAACACTTACTAGTGATGATGCTGAAAGCTAACCCCCTTAGTCCTGTCTGCCACTGAGCTGAGAATGGACATGGGTAAGGGGACCAAGGCTGAGGCCAGCAGCTAGGACCCTGGGCATGGGACCAACAGCCAGGGACTTGTGTTCTCTTTAAACCGGCTTTCAGTTAAGATTATGTCATCACTTATTTGTTGCATTGCATAAAAGAACAAGGCTTGCTAGGGGTATATATCAAATCCTATCTGATCATATTGGAGCAAGCTGTATGAGGGTTATCTCCTTTCCTGAGTACTCTGATCAAAAGCTTATGTATTTGTGTTATGTAGGAATTGCTTAAGCAACTGTATAAATACCATTTGGCCTTTACATTTAATAAAGGAATTTATGGTTGAACTGATGTCATAGTGATATCTTTTATCACTAGTTCTATAACAATCATTCCAACAACTGATAAAGTGGTAAATGATAATAGAAACTAAGGATGTTAAGAAGTGGGTAACTGCCTGCACGCCCAGCTTCTACTACATTTAAACTGCAGAGCCACAGCAGGAGTAGATCCCAGACCTGGCGCGAACAAGGACTGAGCAATCCCAGCTTGCACCGGGTTCTGGATTGTTGTACCTCTGCCTTTTAAATGTAATAAGAGCTGCTTGTCTCTTACTACTTTTAAAAGGCAAAGCTGCAGTGAGGATAGGTCCAGGACCTGACGGGAGTGGGTCCCAGACTGCTGCGCTTCTACCTTTTAAATGTAGTAAGAGCTGGGTGCCACCCAGTTCTTACTATATTTAAAATGAAGAGGCTTAGTAGTCTGGGACCAGTCTGCTCCTGCCAGATCCCAAACCGCTGGGCCTCTGCCTCCCCTGTCTTCCCCCCTGGCACCACAGAGACAGTGCTGGTTTTTAAGCCAGTTTCCCCCAGCACCCTGTTTCCCCACTTGCTGTCTCTGATACAGTGGCAGCAAGGGGGAGTGCAAAGCCCGAAGTTGACTATTTGACTAGTTGCTTATATACCTAGTAGGAACTAGTCTGAACTGGAACAGCAGGAGCTCCCATATCCTGCCCAGGTACAATCTGCTACAATCACTGGTAGAGAACTTGCACATTAGAAAATTCATGTCACAGACTTAAGTGAAAAACGCATCTCTGGTAACAGTCAGTTCACAGAAGTTAGAGCTGATTATTCATATTATTGCGTGGGGCATCCAAGACAAGCGAGAGTTGGCTTCGCTGTCAGGACGTCACTAGTTTCCCAGCTTGAATTCCAGCCACATGCCATCTGTTCTCACCTCATGACTGCAAAGCCTAAAGTGAGGCGGGAACAGTGCCTTGGGCATAAGCACACCCTCAGCCTGCTGCAAATGATGAAAAGGAGGCTTTCTATGAAATCCTAAATTCAGTGGTCTCTTCAGTACCTTTTAAATGCAAGTAATACACATGCAGTGATTTTAATGCTAGAGTTAGTCAGGACTGCACCACATGGCCAAATGTGCTTGAACATCATGGTACTGGAAGAAAGAACTTAAATGACACCTACCTTCTTCAAACTTCGCGCACCATGAGCTTGCTGTTGCAAGCATGTTCTTCCAATGAGTGAACAAATACAGAGCAACTTCGATGCATCCTCAGTCTAAGCCAGGGGTGGGAAACCTTTTTAGGGTTGGAGGCCAATGACCCACAGAAAAATTAGTCAGGAACCAGGGACTGCAGGGGGGCTGGAGTGCCAGTGCAGGCTCGCCAATGCGATGGGAGGCCCTAAGCCTTGGGAGCCAGATCCGGGCAACCTGGGTTCCTCATGCCTGGTCTAAGCATATGATTGACTATCTCATTACAAAACAAAGATTTTTCTGATGTTAATTTGACTCATGCAATTTGTGGCTCTGGCTCCTGGCCTAACCATTACACGGCATCAAATAGTACAAAGTAAGGATGTGTTCTTGCTCCTCTCCTGATCAGCAACTACATTTTGCTGCTTTAAAGAACTGTGCATTGCACATACCTTGTCAGTTCCGAACTAACAATAGCATTTTCCACTTCCGAAGATTTCAGGCTCACACCTAAGAGTTCACTACAACTACCTGTGATGACTTTGAATTGTTGGCTCATTCAGTTAAGAATCCACAGGAGCTTTATGACAGTTTTGCTACTTCTGTTCACCATTTGACATACTGTGAGCCTCAAGACTACAGAGATGATGTCTCAGTCTGGAAAGAGTCCAGTACTACAGTGTGTAGAAGTTGTAGAAACCATTTTTGCTTTAGCTAGAAGCCATCTTGTATAACAGAAACCATTTCAGCTTTTCCCTCTCGCACAAAGGCCAGAGTGAACATTCTGTCACCCCATGTGCCAGGCCAAGACAGATGTGCTATTGGAATGTGTTAATTGGGCTGGTTCAGACAGGAGAGATACTCCCTCGTACCTGTCTGCCATCTTGTTGATAAGGTTTGCAGTGCTGCCTTTGGAAGATTGAACAAATTCTTATGGAATGACGATGGTGTTAAACTTCATATAAAGGTAACAGTTTATCAGGCAGCTGTCCTGAATATCCTCCTGTATGGCTCGAAGTCATGAACTATATATCGCCATCACATTTTAAAACTCAATCAGTTCCGTATGCACTGCCTCAGGAAGATTGCCTGGGTAAATTGGTAAGACAAAATTCCTAACATGGAGGTCCTTAACCTGTGTTGTGTGACTGACACAGAAGCACTTCTTATGAACAAAGAGTTTCGCTGGACTGGTCAGGTTATGTGGATGGATGACACATGGATACCGAAGAGGGCCTTTTACGGCCAGCTTGTTCATGGAAAGCATTCTGTTGGTGGTGTGACAAAGCTCCTATGAAAACTCAGTGGGTTCTGTGCTTCCTGGCAGATTTTGCTAGCCTCAGGCTCACAGCAGCCCACAGTTTTAGGCACCATGCCTAGGGCTTTAGTTTGCTGAGCTCTTTTCATCATTGGTCAGAGTATGGTAAAACGGAGAATAAATTCCACAATCCTTTTCCCACAGTGGAAATGGGGAGGTGGGTTTTGGGGGGAAACCCAGGCCCACCCTCTACTCTGGATTCCAGCCCAGGGTCCTGTAATAGTAGCTGCCGTGTGAATTCCCAACACCTGCTGTAAGACAGCTCCAAGACCCCTGGGCTACTTCCCCACACCTTCTCCAGCACCTTCCTTCTCTCCAGTTCGTCCTCCTAGTGTTCAATTGTTGTCTCCTTTCCTCCTACTCCTAGCATCCTCCTCCTCGGTCATCTTAGCTACACACATGCCCTAACTTATAGCCAGTCTGAACTGGTTTTCTTAATTACCCCTAGAAGTCCTAATTAGCCTAGGCTGGCCTGACTCTGCAGGCCTGGTCAATTAGCCCCAGGTGTTTCACTGCCCTATAGCCTCTGCTGGTTCTAAACCAGCCCTTCCCTGTTACTCTGAGAACAAAAATCTCCCCAGTCTGAGGCTTATATATCTCCCCTCCACTACATTTTTATAGCCTTCTGTTCTGACTAGGGATGTAAGCAACTAGTCGACTTGTCAACTATCCAATAAGCATAAGCTTATTGGCTAGTCGACTAGTCAGTTCCTTGACTAGTCACTTCCCCAGCCCCCTTGATGCCTCTATCAGGCAGGAAGGGGCAGAGCAGGAGCCAGTGCTGAGGGGAGCTGGCTTAAAAGCTGGCTCCTTCCAGCACTTTCTCCGCGGTGGGCAGGGGGTAGCAGAACCACACGTAAGCTGGGAATCAGCTGATGCCCAGCTCGCACCCAGTCCCAGATGCTGTGCCTCTGCTTTTTAAATGTATGAAGTGCCAACTCTTAATGAATTTAAAAGGCAGAGCCACAGAGGGGTTAGCTCCTGAGCCAGAAGCTAACCCAGCTGCGGGTCCCCCACTTATTAACTAATCAACTAGTCCAGTGTTTCTCAACCAGTGGTATGAGTACCCTCAGGGGTACTCGAGAGAAGTCTGGGGGAGTACGTCACTACAACTGAAATTTGGAGAAAACTGATTTTTTTTTTTTAAAGTTTTACAGCACTTTATTATTTTTGTACTTTTTACAACCAAAAATATCATAACCCGCCTGGCTACGATTAAGTTGTTTAAACAAATGTGTTGCAATGGTAGAAACAAAAATGTGTGTCTGAAAACTGTAGGTACTGGGGGTATTTATAATTTTTTTTAAAGAGGTACTTTATAAAAAAGGTTGAGAAACACTGAACTAGTCAATGGAAATTCCATCAACTAAATTTGATCAAACTCAATTTAACATCCCTAGTTCTGACCCTGTCTCACTGGTCAATATAAGAGTTATAAAGATATCTTAAAGATCAACACGAAGTCAGACAGCATACCTCCCGTTGACATGGAAATCAGGACAGACTGTTCTGGAGGTAAACTGTTGCACAGGTTCTCAAACACTTTGAAAGTCAACATATCCAGCCATTACAAGAAAAGTATAGGATCTGAGTGTACAACACCCACAGATAGTGGATTTTTGTGACATCTGTAATCGGATTGGCTTAATCGCTCACTAGTGGTATCATAAAAGATGAAATCTGTCAGTAGACAGCTCAATCCATACAAATAAGAACATAAGAACGGCCGTACTGGGTCAGACCAAAGGTCCATCTAGCCCAGTAGCCTGTCTGACGACAGTGGCCAGCATCAGGTGCCCCAGAGAGGGTGGACCGAAGACAATGATCAAGTGATTTGTCTCCTGCCATCCTTCTCCAGCCTTTGACAAACAGAGGCCAGGGACACCATTTCTATTCCCTGGCTAATAGCCTTTTATGGACCTAACCTCCATGAAATTATCTAGCTTCTCTTTAAACTCTGTTTTAATCCTAGCCTTCACAGCATCCTCTGGCAAGGAGTTCCACAGGTTGACTAAACGCTGTGTGAAGAACTTTCTTCGTACCTGGTATTTCCTTCCTTGAAGGAAATTATACATTGTACACTAGTCAAGACACCTCTTGATAATCCTTTTACTAAGCTAAACAAATTGAGCTCATTCAGTCTATCAATGGAAGGCATTTTTCCAACCCCTGAATCATTTTTGTGGCTGTTCTTCGCAATGACTACAATTTTTAATACCTTTTTAGAATGTGGGAATAAGAGCCTCCGGAAAAGGGCGCTTTTCCCGGAGGATCGGGGCCAGCGTAGATGCTCTTTTCCGGCTTTTTTAAAAGCCGGAAAAAAGTGGCGGACATTTTTATTTAAATCCCCCGCGGATTTCCCTACTACGATAGGTGAAATTAACATGCCCCTTCCGGAAAAGGGGCCAGTGTAGACGAGCCCCTGCTCTTTTAGTCACAGCATCATACTGGGAGCTCATATTTGTCCACTATGACCCTTAAAACATTTTTAGAGTTCTGTTGGTATGGCACGCACTCCTTGTTCCTAAATTATGACTCCTGGGTGCTAGTTATTCTGGTAGGCTGATTTTAAAATGTTTGTCCCTAGTGGACGCTGTGGAAAATAGTTCATTCTCTTCATAGGTATCAATACCTCATTTCAGCTCTTTCCAAATACACAACAGAAATATGTAGATACTTCTGGCTTATCTACAACATTAACAACTATTCTCCCATCCAGTAATGGGCCTATCACTGTTAAGATTCCCTTTTTCATATTATCCTTTTGTTCTTATTGCCCTTAGCTGCTGTGACCTGTTTGAATATAGTGTGCTCAATATCCTTTTCTTGATATAAAAGCCAATAGTAAAGCTCTACTAATATAGTTACTTTTTTATAGCTTAGGATTCATATTACTAATAGATTCAATTGTATGATCCTCCCCACTCACAATTTTTTCATGCCCAATTTTATAAAATTCTTTAGATGTACATGACTCCTCACATTTGTCTTTCTTGCATAAAGGTCTTCCCCTCACATACTGTAAATCATACAAATCTACCTCAATCAAAGAAACTAAAAGCTTTATTCTTGAAGATCAGAAGCACTGCATCAATTTGTGCTCCATCTATTCCAATGTAGCGAACTGATTTTAAAAAATGCATGGCAATGTAATAAGTGACACCATCAAACTAAAAGCGTAAAGAAAACTAGAGCAATAGGGCTTATTTTAAGTGACCTGTCCAATTACTAATACACAGTGATATTAGATTTTAAAAGACTCACTCAAAGACTAAAACAGGTAAGATTTCTCTGTTCTCTGATTCTTGTTAATCAAGATAAGCAAAAGAAATGTACTTTAACTAGTTGACTGAAAACAAAACAAAAAAACAGAGTCAAGTGACATCAGGATCATATAGCACAAGATATTTTTCTTACTGTCTTGAAATCAGGAAGATGAGTATCAATTGCTTCAGAATAGCCACATTTGTATTGAGTGAATAAAGGCTTAGTAAAAAAGAAATATTTTCAATACAAAGGAATTTCCAATATGCAATCTGAATATAAATGGACTTGACAACATAGTATTTATCCAAACAGTCTTATTCTTGTTTGTATGTATAGATCAGTGTTTCTCAACCTTTTTTTATAAAGTACCCCTTAAAAAAAATGTAAAATACCCCTAGTAACTAGTTTTCAGACATACAAAATTGTTTTCTACCATTGCAACACATTTGTTTAAACAACTTAATCGTAGCCGGGGGGTGGGGGGGGGGGGGGAAATGTGTTGGTACAAAAATAATAAAACGCTGTAAAACTTAAAACAAAAATTCAGCTTTCTCCAAATTTCAGTGGTGTTGACGTACCCCCCAGACTTCTCTTGAGTGTCCCTAAGGCTACTCGTACCATGGGTGGAGAAACCCTGTTCTTGGCCCTGCTGCTGTGGGGCAGGATCTGGCTCAGAGCTGTGGGGGAAAAGGAGCTCAGGTGTGTATGTGGGTGAGGGGGAATGGTGGAGTCAGGGTTTGGGAGGGGGGAAGGGGCTCAGGTTTGGGGGTGAGGAGCAGCTCAGGGAAGAGGGATGGGAGATTGCATGGGCTGTGCTGGCTAGGTGGTGGTACTCTGGGGCTGGCCGGGAAGCTTACTCCTCCTTCTCCTCCTCTTCCCCCATCTCTGCCCCTTGCTCTCCCTCCCACTGTGGTCATTACACAGTATAACTGTCCTTGATAGAAGCCTCTTCCCTTTCCGTGTTATGAAAAACAATCGCATTCCAGGCACATCCCATTGTCCTGGCACAACCAAACCCTCACCTTGCTTTAAGTTATGATAAGAGGAAGCTGCATACCAGATTTGATGGCCCTAGTTCTTACCGTTTAGGAAGAGTTCTTGAACAAACAGACAGACGGACAGACAGACTTGCTTGCTCGCTCACACTCAAACTCTCTCAAATATATAACAGATATACATAGAACATTACCCTGCCACCTCGGATCCTCACTAATAATTTTTTCAATCATTGCTTGGCTAGCTAGAATTCCTGGCTGTAGGTCAGAGATGTTTTCTCCACCTCCTAGCTGCCCATTCTGTAAGGCTTCCTGTGCCTGAAGTTCCCTGAAATAGAGAAGAAAAGATAATTTTACCATACTATGTATTTTCATCAAGCTTCCCAATGGTAAATAAAATCCTAACTTTATTGACGTTAACAGTTTTGTCACGGACTTCAGTGAGCCCAAATTTCATACCATACTTCACAAAGGCTTACTTAAACTCACATTGTCCTGCCTTGTCTTCATTATATGGACCAATGCAGGTGAAAGCATCATAACAAAGAATAATTCTATATGTTAACAAAGGGATAGGCACAAGATAGAAAGTCATAACTTTTGAGAGGTATAGTTGCTTCCAACATCTTAATCTGATCAAGAGGACTGTCAATAGCACACTAAATAAATGTACAAAGGACATTACATTGGACAATGATGCATGAATCTAAGAGAGCAATAATGCAATAAGAACTAAACAGGTTAAAATATGGCAGAAATACAAGTATATCAGAAATAAGAGACTAATTTTAGACAAAAAATAAGCTAATGCAATGTGGCAAAACAAAGATTTTCAACAACAGAAATTTGGAAAGCCACAGTGATTATGAAAGACAAGACAGATACAACTTTCTGATGGAATACTGCAGCTAAAAGCTATCATCTTTTGTAGACCGTATACTGACACACCATATAGAAAAAAAATCCATTTCCCTACCATTTTATGACGCCTTACCTATTATTATTTGTACTAAAGTAGTTACTGGGGTGCCCAATCATGGTTGTTACCCATGGTCAGGGTCACCACTGTACTACGCACTCTACAAGTACCAAAAAAGCCCTGTTCTAAAGTGATTACATAGGTTACAAGTTCTTGGTTTTGGGGGGGTTTTTTGGAGGGGGGAGGGAGTGGAGAGGAAACCTCACCAAAAGAACTATGTTTATTGTTCTTTACAATATATTTGGAAAGAATTTATGGGGGAGCAATAAAAATTACTGAATCAGAAGGAGCAGTACTTAAAATGTAAATACATATGTTAAGTGACAATGACTTTTTAAAAGGGCATTTAATTAGAGTTTTCGCATCCTGAATTTGAAGGATATATACAACAACATGGAAGGAAGAAAGTTACTCACCTGTAACTGGAGCTCACTTATATTATTAGTAAGTATCTTTACTCCCGTGGAAGGAGCAGTCACATCCCATTCCATCCCATCCCATCAAGCTCACCTATCTCCATTGTAGACACTCCTACCGTTAAGAGACAGCACATATTTCTTCTAGAGCTATGGAATATCCCAGGTAAGATCATATCAGGAGGAAAAAATCATCTCATTTATTCTCAGTTTTCCCCATATGACTCGGGAGTTACAAGTAACTAACTATTTTCTCTTTCAAGTATCATCAGTATGGATCACAGATCACTGGAAGGGGCCTCAAGTGATCATCTAATCCAGTTCCCTGCACAGACGCAGAGCTAAGTATTATCTAGACCAGTGGTCGCCAACTCGATCATGATTTACTCGTCAATCCTGGGGACTTGCCCAATCAACTGAAACCTCCAGTGGTATAGTGGGACTACCATTAAAGTAGGTGCCCTGCCTGCCCTGGTCCCAGACCCACCACTCCCCGAAGCTGCCAGCATGCAGGGGTGGGGGAGAGAAGAGGTCTCTGTGTGCTGCTTCTGCCTGCAAGCACCACCCCTACAGTTCCCATTGGCTGAGAACCAGGAATTGTGGTCAATGGAAGCTGAGGGGATGGTGCCAGCAGAGAAGGGCAGCACAGGGAGCCATGTACCCCCTTCCCTGCTATCCCCAAGGGTCACAGGGGCCGTTGGCTCCTTCTTGGAGTGGTGTGGGGCAGGTGGGAAGCCTGCCTTTGCTTCCCTGAGCCGCCAACCAAGAATTGCCCAAGGTAAGTGCCGCCCAACAGGAAACCACACCCCAACCCCATGCTACATCCCAGAGCCAGCACCCTAAACCCCCTTCTTTAGAGACTCTTTACAACTTAGATTTGGACTCATAGACTTTAAGGTCAGAAGGGACCATTATGATCCTCTAGTCTGACCCCCTGCACAGTGCAGGCCACAAAATCTCACCCACCCCTCCTAGAATAATCCTCTCACCTATATCTCAGATATTGAAGCCTTCAAATACTCTGAAGACCCCAAGATGCAGAGAATCCTCCAGCTGTGATCTGTGCCCCATGCTACAGAGGAAGGCGAAAAACCTCCAGGGCCTCTGCCAATCTACCGTGGAGGAAAATTCCTTCCCTACCCCAAATATGGCGATCAGCTAAACCCTGAGCATGTGGGCAAGACTCATCAGCCAGACACGCAGAAAGTTCTCTATAGTAACTCCTATCATCCCTCCATTGACCTATTCCCACTGATAATGAATGGTCAATTAGTTACCAAGATCCTGTTATCTCATCAAACCATCCCCTTCATAAACCCATCTAGTTTAATCTTGAAACCAGATAGATCTTTTGCCCCCACTACTTCCCTTGGAAGGCCGTTCCAGAACCTCACTCCTCTAATGGTTAGAAACCTTCGTCTAATCTCAAGTCTAAACTTCCTACTAGCCAGCTTATATCCATTTGTTCTTGTGTCCACATTGGTATTAAACTTAAATAATTCCTCTCCCTCCCTGGTATTTATCCCTCTAATATATTTAAAAAGTGCAATCATGTCCCCCCTCAGCCTTCTTTTGGTTAAAGTAAACAAGCCAAGCTCCTTGAGTCTCCTTTCATAAGACAGGTTTTCCATTCCTCGGATCATCCTAGTGGCCCTTCTTTGTACCTGTTCCAGTTTGAATTCATCCTTCTTAAACATGGGAGACCAGAACTGCACACAGTATTCCAAATGGGGTCTCACCAATGCCTTGTATAATGGCACTAACACCTCCTTATCCCTACTGGAAATACCTTGCCTAATACATCCCAAGATCGTATTAGCCTTTTTCACGGCCATGTCACAATGGCGGCTCATAGTCATCCTATAATCAACCAGGACTCCGAGGTCCTTCTCCTCCTCCGTTACTTCCAACTGATGTGTCCCCAGCTTATAACTAAAATTCTTGTTATTAATCCCTAAATGCATAACCTTACACTTCTCACTATTAAATTTCATCCTATTGCTATCACTCCAATTTACAAGATCATCCAGATCTTCCTGTATGATATCCCGATCCTTTTCTGAATTGGCAATAGCTCCCAACTTTGTGTCATCTGCAAATTTTATTAGGACACTTCCACTTTTGGTGCCAAGATCAGCAATAAAAAGATTAAATAAAATTGGCCCCAAAACTGATCCCTGAGGAACTCGCTAGTAACCTTCCTCCATCCTGACAGTTCACCTTTCAATATGACCCGCTGTAGTCTCCCCTTTAACCAGTTGCTTATCCACCTCTCAACTTTCATATTAATCCCTATCTTTTCCAATTTAACCAATAATTCCCCATGTGGTACTGTATCAAATGCCTTACTAAAGTCGAGGTAGATTAGATCCACTGCATTTCCTTTATCTAAAAAATCTGTTACTTTCTCAAAAAAGGAGATCAGGTTGGTTTGGGTGTTTGATGAAGTGGGTGTTACCCACAAAAACTCATGCTTCTATGTATATTGTGGCTGGTTAGGGCTAAGTCCCTGGATCCTGCGCTTCCTGGCAGGTTTTTTTGTGTGCCTCAGAGGCTCACAGAGTCCCAATCACTGCCACAAAGGCAAGGGTACCCCACTATCAGAACCCTTTTCATCATAGGAAAGTCCAAGGCATGGGAGATCAGACCCTCTGTTAGTCCACAGGGCCTCCCCTGTTTTATTGCTGGCAGCCCACCAGCCGGGAGGAGGGTTGGGGGAAACCTGGTCCCACCCTGGGTTCTGGACCAGGGCCCTATGGGGAAGAGGGGGGGGGGGGAGATCTGAGTGGGTCACGAGGCTTGGCTCTTGCCTCACTGAACAGCAGCCTCTCCCTGGGCCGCTTTCCTAACCCTTCCTGAGCACCTCCTCCCAATGCCTTGGGTCAGGATTCATTGCAGGCTGCCTAGGGTCAGCCTCTTGTGCTGGGCTGCTCTGTTCTCCTTCACTTCTCCTCTGGTCTGTCCCTCCACTCCTTCCCCCTGTCTTGCCTGACAGAGGGTTATTTATAGGGCACCCATCAGCCTTAACTGGCCTCAGGTGTTCTGATTAGCCTTCCCTTCAGGCTGATGACAGATGGGCTTCAGGTGTTGAACTGGCTGGGCAGCAGTCTCTGGCAGCCTATACTGACTGGGAACATAAAACTGCACACCCAGCTCCCTGCATATTTGCCTTCCATTAGACTTCTGCAGCCCCCTGCTCTCAGGCTGCCACAATATATAGATGTTAGTCTCTAAGTTGCCATAGCACTACTCTTATTTACTCAATTATTCAATTTAGCACTTGCAATTTGCGTCAAGCTCCATTTGGAAGGAAATTCAAATAAAATAGAAAATAAAAAATGGTTCCTCAACCTTTGGAAACTTGCTCTGCAAGATGTGTTACTCATCTCTATTCCAATTAGGTGTGCATGTGCTGTGTACATGACTGTCAGAAAAAAAATGTCCTAGTTGCTGCCCGTCAGGTTGGCTGTGAAGCCCCCTAGAGTGGTGCCAGTGCCATGCCCTGTATGTGAATCTGCTGACCCAATCACCCATCAGTTCCTTCTTGCCAGCGAAGGAAAGATGGGTAGGAATAGACGTGAGCCACACATCTCGAACAACAGATACAAAGGAGAGAAACAGTTTTTTTTTTCTTCGAGTGCTTGCTCATATGTATTCAAATTAGGTGATTCACAAGCCTATACCCTGGAAGAGGGATCGGAGTCAGTCTGACTTGAGAACCGCAGTACCAAAAGCCACGTCCTGCCGTGATTGTTGCATGATAGCATAGTGTAATGTGAAGATATGTACCAAAGACCAAGCTGCAACTCTGCAGATTTCCTGGAGGGATATATAAGCCAGCGGGTGCTCTTGTACATTTCAAAGATTGAAATACCACCTGGATCCCGGGGGTCAGCGGGGACTCAGAGTCCCCTGCTTACCCGGGCTCCATGC